TACTTAATTGAAATGAGCTGAAGCAACACAATTCTTGAGATTTCATTGGGACAACTTTATTTTTTTATGTTCAATCAACATAAATTTGTTGAAAGTGTTGAGTTAATTTAATCAATTTGTGTTGGGACATGAATAAATTGTGTGGAACCCTGCATTTTTTACAGTGTAGGTCACGTGAAATGACCATGATATTTGGTTCATTTTAGGACATTACCTTGTTATTCCGATAGCCATGATCATATATTCTCTCAAAATCTTAGTCTCTCAATCTCAATCTCAACAGTTTGTGTTGGAAAGAGACCAAAATTCAACATCGAGCCAACAACTTAAAGCAATGTCCTATTAACGTCAAAAACTGACATTTATTCATCAGGTATGGCAACTAAAATTCAATGTCTGATAGACGTCAAAGTGCTAACGTCCACACAAAGTCAAGCTATAACATCATTAGATGTTGATATTTGGTTGATTTTAGGTTGGACGTTGGACAATGACATCGACCTAATGTTAAGTTCTGATGTCAACCCGACTTTAATTTCCAAACAAAATGCAACGTCCCCACAACGTAGGGGTACAACCTCAATCTGACGTCATGTTGACATCCTGTTCCTGCTGGGATAGTTATAGTGAACAAAATGATCAATATGATAAAATTACCTGAAAATGTTCAAAAATATGCTTCACACACACATATTCCATCATGTTTTGTATCTGAAAATTAACAAAGAACAATTAAAATTTGCAGCTTCATGCGATTTTGTGACAAAAAACAGACGTGGTCCCTGCATTTTGAATCTGTTAACTTATGCTTGTATTATTTCATGTACATAAGACTGTCTTTTTGGTATAGTTTTTGGCACATGTGTGTTTTTATAAGTAATTCAAGGTATTGTTTGTAAAACCTGCAGTTGGAAAAATACTCCACAGGGATCATAAAGCTGCTTTATAAAAAACAGAAATGATTATGTGATATAAAAAAAGTATCAAATTGCAATTTTTCATACTGATATTGCAATATGATTTAGTAAATTTTAGCTTTAGCTCTGTATTCTCAATAGTGTACAACACGCACTTGGAAAAGAATACAACACACTTTAGCTGTATATACACCGTGCCTCAAAAAATCCAAGCAAAATTAATTCTGTCAGAATTTCGTCAAAATGTCTCCTACTTTAATTAGTAACTATTTTATAATAGTTTTCTCAAGCCCCTGACACCTACAATGTAGATCTACACAGAAGGTTTGGCCAGAGGAAAAATGGTCATCCCCATCTGAGCCTGGTTTCTCTATAGGTTTTACTTCCCTTCACTTTGGTCAATCGGTTATGTTTTGTTCCTCGCCACTGGCGTACTTGGTTTGGGGCTACGCATCGATGGATTTGCTCTTCAGTGTTTTGACTTCCAGCAGTGAAATTTAAACCACACTGAACTGAACTAAACTGAACTTCAACTCTGAAAACTGGACTGACACAGCTTCAATTTACTAGAACTTCTATATGTGAAGCTGCTTTGACACAATCTACATTGTACAAGCGCTATAGAAATAAAAATGAATTGAACTGAATTATATTTTGAAATTAAATGGCAAATAGATGAAATTACATGATACATTTTCCACCTCATCTGATTTATATCATCGCATTACCTACATAATAACCCAAATATTGACAGAAGGGTTCAATTTTATAACTTGCAAACTAAATTAGCACGCACAGAAAATCAATTCAATTCATTTCAGCTTTATTTGTATAGCGCTTTTACAATGTAGATTGTGTCAAAGCAGCTTCACATAAATGGTCATAGTGATTGGAACGGAGTAGTTCAGTTTTTAGTGTTTAAGTAATAAAGCAACGATTACAATATCAGACTTATTAATTGGCATGCTCCCATGCAATCTGTTGGACAGTGTGATGGGTGCGTGGTGTGTCGTCTTGGCTCAGCACCATGTCTTAGACAGTGGTGATAGTTTCAAAAGTACGGACAGTGCGCGGACGACCACTGCTCACCACATGGCATACTGATTCAGTGCGATCAATTTTCGCCAACAAGTAATCCAATCCACCTTTTGTCCAGTTTTTCGTCGGAAATTCATGAAGAAAACGTGAAGCACTGTAGCCTTTGAGTTCTCGTAAACCTTCGATCACCTTTAGTTAAGCCTTACACAATTTAAAATAAATACGTTATCATTACGCCATCATTACATCATCACCAAGGAAAGTAAATAAAAGAATTATTCTAATGTAGACATTGCGCTGTTACTCCTGTACAAAAATTTAGTCATTTTTATTGTTGTAGTTCGATAAGCAGTCTTAATTTTCTATGATATATTATTGCTTGTTTTTTTGAGACACGGTGTACATACAATGTGATTGGTTACCGGTTTTCAGCTTTCTTTAAATCTCTTGAGGGCGAGTAAATCAAGAGGAAATTCTCATTTTTGGGTGAACTATCTCTTTATAGCTATATTTTATATTCCTTTCATTAAAACACAGGATAAGCATTATGATTGTGTAAAAATCGAAAAGCAAATATATCTATTCATATAAATATGATTGCACCCACTATAACACATGTTCGCCTGGTGTAAAACATTGATTGAGACCTCACTGTTCTTATTGTAGCCATTCGAAAGACTCTCTTATGCAGAATTACAAGCTTTTTTAGAAAATAATTCATAAACTGTGAATAAATCATCTGTCGATGCTTATAAAAGTCAAAGAATCTTAATATTCTACACCAAAATTCACTTCAAACCATTGCTTGGTGAATTGATCTAATTGAACACTCAAATGTTAGCAGTCATAAATTAGATATATTTATTTTAAATAATGGTATTGTTTCTAATATAAAAGCAAACTAACGAAGAACAAATCACGAGTGTAACACAGGTGCGTACTTAATAATAATAATTAAGAGAGATGCAATTGTTGAACCTGAATTTCTTCTGATTCAAGTACAGTAAGTCAAACCGTCTTCACAACAATAAAGCTTTGGACTCTAATCACGCTCTCTTTCTAACACCTTTTCTCCATGTGCAACACAGTAAAAGCCCATTTCTGTCACATTTAGAAAAGAAACACTTTGAAAAATCATTAAGACATAACAAGTCATAATTATGACATAAAAACCTAAAATATATGCCAAATCAAAATGACATATTAAGTTAAAGGGTTTTGGAGAGATATATTAGTATCCTGCAGTATTGGCATCCAAATTAGCTGTCATAATTTAGAATTGTGGATAATAATTATGACTCGGTATTAGGGATGGGCGATGTTGACCAATTTGGCATCGTACAATGTCTAATGTGAAACATCGTGATGGACGATGGCATTGTCATTGTAGGTGAAATAATTATTTGTGATAAGTTAATAATTATTTATGAATAGTTTATTGTTTTTTGTTAAGTTTATTGCTTGTAGCTTACCGTTTTAACTACCTGACCTGCATGGTCTTTGTTTTACCCATAACCAAATCATAAATAAATAATGATAAGTTACACACAAATTACCACCTGCCAGTCACTTTTTCAGCGAGACTTACGAGTGATCTGTGTCGTTAAAATGGCGTCGACAAACTAGGTTGGTAAAAAAGGTGCACTACCAACAAGAACTAGCCAACAGTATAGGTTTTCGTTAAAGTACAAGCATGAAAGCGAAAGATTGAAGCAGTGTACTGACGCTGTGAAACATTACCTGATAGATTCTAAAGACAGAAGAGTCGTTAGACGGAGACAGGAAGAATTAAATATTATGTTTAATAACTATTGTGAAACGCGATCCAGTGGTTCATCCTTGATAAACTGTCTAACCTGCACTGCTCTCAGGGGTTTTGTGCCCACTGACCCAGCTGGGACTCGAACTAATGGCGTTCTTGCTGAAAGGCGACAATGCTAACCACGGAGCCACCATGACGCCCGCATTTTGACTTTTACAATGTTATTTTTTATTTAGTATGAATTTGTAATCTCAGTTGATACTTGCTGTCTTGATGGATAGTTTCTGTCTCATAACTATGATATATCAAATAATATAGACCTTTGCAAATAATTTTGACTGTCATAATTATGGCTTTTCATTTTTCAGACTTTAAATGTCATAATTTGATTTTCCATAGCATACTTAGTATTATTGACAACAGTATTTATGACTTTTATTCTGGTTTTGACTTTTGTCTTCTAATAATGTGGACTTTTTTTGTGAGAATGTTGACTTTATTGTATATATTATGTTTGTTTTAGGCTTTGAAAATTTTTATAGCATCATTTAAATTTAGTTTTGTTGGTTAGTCATTAGCACTGTCGCCTTACAGCAAGAAGGTTGCTGGTTTGAGTCCTGGCCAGTTGTCATTTCTGTGTGGAGTTTGCATGTTCTCCCCGTGTTCACATGGGTTTCCTCTGGGTGCTTTGGTTTCCCCCACAGTCCAAAGACATGCGCTATAGGTGAACTGAATTAATGAAATTATCCATAGTGTATCCATGAGCGTGTGTGTGAATGAGTGGGTTTCCCAGTACTGGGATGCGGCTGCAAGGGCATTCCGCTTTGTTTTTGCATAAATATGGGTTATTAAATACAAGTATTTCATATATGTCTAAAAATAATTGAGTCTTTTGTCTACTTTATTTAATAATCATGTTTTTATGCTATAATAGTTATTGCTGTATAATTTTAATATTTAAAGTGAATTTGGGCTTTATCACAATCTTTATGTTAATTTTAACTCATAATTATATTTTTCATAATTTCTTTTTATGTTTAACTCAAAATAAATGTTTCTTTCTGTTAAAATAACTGACAAACTATTACTTTTAAACACATACAACTCATTTATGTCTGTTTTTCCATAATATGTTTGTTTCTGCATTAATTAAGACTTTTTTTTACTTTTTAATTATAAAGTCCATTTTGACTTTTGTCATAATTAATTTACTACCTTTTATGTCATAATTATGACTACAGCCGTCTTTTGAACTTCTTATGTCACATGCATGATTTTTTGTATGTTGTTTTCTTTCCAGCATATCAGAAATGTGCTTCCACCCAACATCGCTGACTGTTGCCACCCTCCGCTGTTCCATAAAGTTTTTATGACCTGTGCTAATCTTTAACATTTGACCTCAGCCGTGTCAAACCAAATTCCCCTCATTTGTTCACAAGCGCTGCTACCGCGTTCCTCTCTCCACAGTCCCTGAGCACTGATTTCATTGATTTCACACAAGTACACACACAAACAAAACCGAACTCAATAAAGCTTTTACAGAGACACGTGTGCACTCAAAAATGCCTGGCTAAGCTGGTTTATGGATATACCCAATATATATATCCATCAAAGTCCCTTTATGCTCTGCAAAATTACAAAGAGATACATATGCCATACTCTAAACTAATACTGAAGCTCTAAAACAACGGCTACGACGACGGGCCAAACTAAACACAGAAGCGTAAATCCCAGACAAAACAGCGAGCTCTACGAGACGTCCCTGATATATGGTGCTTGTTTCCGAGATGCCAAAGCAGCAGTTTTGATGAGCAGAAGACTATAAGAGGCTTCACTCGAGTCGCTCGGAATAAATGCCACATGCAGAGCAAACACAAGCCTCTCCACCAATCCAGCAGAGCCACTCCATGCATTAAAACACAACAAAAATTACACTAGCTATACAAAACCAAACAAAAAAATGCTCCCAGCGTGGGGAAAAATAGCTACAGCATAGATCAGATCTGAGTGACGTGATGAAAATGCACAGTGCGTTCGTTTTTAGAGAGTAAGAAAGCACAAACAAGCCATTCTCATGAGTAACAGGATGATGACGATGAGTTTATACAGATAGACATAGAGCTATATTTATATATATTTATATATATTTATATACTGCCTAATAAATACACTTGCTCTGTGCAAGGTGTGATGAAGAGCTTGTTTCACATAGTGAAACCCAGTTGGGGAAGAGCATGCATTTGTCAATGTGCGAATGCCAGGGAGATTTTTTCCTTCTTGAAGTCGCTGGTCCTTTCCTGGGGCTCAGAATGAAGGGGTGGAGTGCCTTTTCCCAGAATGCTTCAGCGATGACACTGGATAAAATGAAATAAAAAATAAAAAAACATAAAATGTCAGGCTAGGACGGTCATGTTGGTTCTGGAGCTTGTTGTGCATTTAACTTTGGCATTAAGCGCAGGGCTAGGCAATGTTCTGTTATACTTACATGAAACATTCTATATTCTTTTACTCTGACTCAGCTAGAAGAAAGAAAAGAGGCCTTAATCAAACCGTGAAACTATGGATGACTAATGACTACATTCTGTAGAATGGGAAGTTTAGATGTTTGATCTATTTAAAGGGGTTGTGAACTGAAAATCAACTTTTACTTGATCTTTTGTTGTATATGAGGTCATTGTATAAAAAGTATATCCTGTAAGTTTTAGAACTGAAATCAGCCTTGTTATTGAAATAACAGCTTTTTCTGACAGCAGGGCCTGAAAACGCCTGATTCTGGAATGTACCCATCTATGATGTCATAGGTAGATTAAACCAAGACTGAAGAATATCAATGCCTGATTCTATAGCTCCGCCCATTAATTCATGCAAGGCATGGCCAGATGGTGTCGCAGCGGAGCAATCTGTTGAAGATTTTTGTAATTCTTTTAATTGGATAAACACAATAGGTTTCCTTTAGAATGTACACAAATACAGATAGACACACTTTGTAATCTATTAAAGTGGTCCCTCGCTATAACGCAGTTTACCTTTCGCGGCCTTGCCGTTTTTTAAACTGAATTTCTTAGTTTTGTTTCTTTTACAGTGCATTGTGTTCAGCGTCCTGATTGGCTGTAGACCATTGTACAGAATGTACAGAATGCGTTCAGCTTGCCAAATTAACATAAATATTCGATAGCTAGCAGTGTGAGTTTCAACAAGGATGCAAAAAGAGTTGTAATTGTCTGCAGCAAGTCCATCGTAAAGGGGGTTGCATACTGGATGTGCCACACCACGACGCACCATGTATTTTAGAATTGTAAACAGGATTATATCAGAGTGCACACACCGGCACCGCATGTAGGCAACTGTTTGCAGTGCTCAGCTACGACTCAAGACCCTTTGGTTTTATCTATAATAGGCTACTGGATTTATTTTTTGTGAAAGTTGGAACTTTGATAGTTCTTAAACAAAAGAAAAAAGTGTGAAAATGTTAATGCCTGTCTGAGAAAAGTGTATAAAGTGTGTAGTGAGGCATTTTACAGCCCTAAAACATCTATAATACTTCAAAAAAAAAATTTAAAAAAAAGCTGACTACTTTGCAGATTTCGCCTATTGCGGGCTATTTTTAAAATGAAACTCCCGCAAATAACAAGGGACCAATGTACACACATTGTAATCTATTAGGCTATTATCTGCCATTTTACTTATTTGTTTATTTATTTATTACAATCTTGACATATTTAAAACTTTTTTTATTTACATTTTCACATTCATTATTAATAAAGAGTATTGTATCGATACATATTGCGACTCTTCATTCAATGAGCGAGGAAAGAATTATTTCTAATTTCAAATTATTTAGTATCATATTATTAACAAATTATTTTTTAAAAATTATTATTATTTATTTATAATAAATATTTATTTATTATAGTATCATACTATTAACAAAACCTTTAAAAAATCTGAAATTAGAAATACAGAATACAGAAATACACTGATCATACTGTACACATATATGAGAGAAAAAATACTTTACAGTATCAAATGATCCCTTATTTTTTATCTGTATGACCAAAATGATGGGTATTTGAGTTGTGTAAAGATATGGTTGGAAAGCATGTTGGAGATATGTCCACATACAATATTGCATCGACTGAAAACTTGACATTGCAGCCTGATCACGGTCAAAAAATAAATCCTAAAAACTTGAATGGAGTACTATTGTAATGGTTCAGTATGTCACAGCTCACACTGCTAAAAGTCAAAAGTAAAAACTGAAAAAGTACTCTGGAAGTCTAAGAAGTTGACAGCTAGTGCATTAGGAAGAACTGTTATTCCATCATAGCAATGGGCATTGAAAAAAAAAACTTTACATTCCGCAAGATAGCCTCAAAACCAGAGAAGGAAAAAAAGTGTATTACATCACAAGTGGACCACAGAAGAATAATATATTTTAATAGACAGTTCATGACCCCTTTAAATTAATAAGGATGCACTGGTATTAAATTTCTAGTAATTTCTTTGCACTTGATAACCGATAATCGACCGATATTAATAGATTAATAGTATTTATACTAGTTAAAATGTAAAGTTGTTTTAATTGCTAGGATGAATGTTAGCATCATAATATTATGTGTGGATATTACTTCCAATTTAATTTTTTTTGTGTGTATGTTTTTAAAGAGATTAACTGTAAATGAGCTATAAACAACAAAGGTTTACCAAGACTAAACTTATAAGAAAAAATGTCACATTTTAAAATATTACTGTTAATATAATGAATCATTTGTATAATCATGCTGATTAAGAAATGCTATTACTGCACACTATTGTATTTAAGAATGGTTCTATAAGTGTTTTTGGACCCATTGAGTAAAAGAAACTTCACATTTGTGGAAAAAAAGACCATTGAGCTTCAAAGTTACTTTGTGGAACCATCAATGCCAATAAGAAACCTTTTTTAAAGAGAGTTTAGAGTTTAAAAAATGTTTAAGAGTATATAATAAAATCTCAAATATCGGCCGATAACAGACAAGATACACATAAAAAAGTGCATCCATTTATTTTTGGCTTGAAATCTTATGAAATAGAAAGATTTACTCTTTTATTTCAGTTGTCATTCTGAAAGAAAGGGAAATGGCCTTTGCGACTCACTCTTCTCCCGTCCATTTCGCATGTTCTCTTCCTCTTCCTCAAGCCCGTCATCCACTGTGAGAGTTACAAACATTAAAATGAACAACTGAAATCTTGAAGAAGGCACTTGAAGGACAAAAGTGTGTGTGTGTGTGAGAATACCTGAGTGAAGTTCTTTCACTAGTGATGACATAGTGTTTGTGATCGAGTCTGCAGCCACTAAAAGATCATTACGGAGATTTCTTGGTACACCTGAATAAATAACACACAATATTCTGAGCTTAAATGAAGATTTCCACACATATTTAAATGAATGATTAATTTTTGGCTTGTTTCATGTGGCATTAGATTTAAAAACTGTACAGCAAAATTGCATAGGCTACAGTTGTAATGTATTTAGTTATTCTGGACCTACAGATGGCCAAACAACATAGAGAATGACCAGATTACAGTACATTACTTCTCAGACAATCCATAACCCAAAAAATCCTAGATTAAAGTGTGGCACAGAGCCCGTTAAACATCACTAGATGGAAACATCCTCTTGAACATCTTCTAGACATCTCGTAAACATTTTAAACATTTCCTTCTAAACTGTTAATGCAATCACATATAGTATTCATATAACTGGTGTTCACAGAATAATCAGCATCCATCCATCTTTCCATTACCCAAACTGCTTGTTTCTCTGCAGGATCATGGGGATGCTGGATCTCATCCCAGCGATTGGAGCCACAGGCGATGAGGAACCCTGCGTGGATAGCTGTTCCATCACAGGACTCACACATATTTGCACTCTCATTCACACTTGTGGAACATTTCTCTAATTTTCCCATGCTGCATGTTTTTTTGGATTGTGGACCAAACTGGAGGCAACCCACACAAACACAAGGAGAACATGGAAACTTCACATAGAAATGCTTCATGGCTTAGCCAAGGACATTCTTGCTGTTAGTCGAGACAAATCTCTTATGCATCTTTTATTTATCCTATGAATCATTGTAAAATTCTCCTATATGTCATCAAAACATATCCTAAATATCTTCTAAACATCTGCTAAACATCTAAACATACTATAAAAGCAATCTAGGCTCTTTATTGATACGCACCCATATAAACATTTCTGGATATCATGAAATACGTCCCAGGAGGTCCGTTTCTTTGCAGTTTTTGTATTCACAAGTCCACCAGAGGTCACTGTGTAAGCTTTTCAGACCCCCTAGTTTTTCACGACTTTATTGTGGTAATTCCCAGAAATTTGGGGACAATTTTGTATATATACATCACATATCTAAAATGGTAGGAATTAAGCCAAATGAAGGTTATATGACTTATTTTTAAGCACAAACTTACTTTTTCTCTTTCTCAGATTTTGCTCCTCGGAGCATCTGACAGGTACCTCACTCAGAAAATGTGTTCGGGCTTCCCCTACCGTAACACATCTAAAACACAGATCACGATAAAACTTGTCGCTGGGAAGCAATTTATTTCGGTAACTGCAGCGCTAAACAAAATTACTTATCGATTTCATAAACACCATAATACCAGACATATGAGTAAAGCAAAAATAATGTTTTTCAATTCGGTCAAGGCTAGCAGCCGTCATATATGAACCAATCTCCATCATCGTAAGCTGCTTTCTTTTCTGCCTGTTCCATTGCTCCGTTTTTTAGATGTTTGATCCCCATTTTTGCAGTCTGAAGCACACCAAATGCAAATCAACCCAACATGGGGCCTCCATGTAATGTAATGATTGTGAGGGCGTAGGCGAGACGTAATTTTTCGAGAAACACGCAAATACATCATGTGTGCTGCATATGCAATGTCTATGTGCGTGAGTAATGTAAAACAATTAATTGCAAACTGAAATAAAAATATTTTTATTATATGGTTTGGAATTTGATATTTGCAACTATTTCGCGTTTAATTAATTTATGCCTGCTGTTCTCGCATAAATCCACCAGAGGTCACTGTCGACAAACTGACTGACTGCCTGACTGATACCCCCACCCAACTGATAGTGTTTTCAAAAGCAATCCTGATTTTCACTGTGTTTTTAGATTTTACCACGTTCTCCCCCTAATAATTACTTGTTTATTTTATTTTTTTGCCAATTGTTGTTTCACCTGCTTTTTGGAACCGTTCTTCATCGGACTCGAACCCTGTCATCGAGGTCAACTCCTCTCTGCATCTCATGTCTGCCAAGGTACATGGCAAACTAGTGACAGAGGAAATGCCGTCCACAAAGCTAAGCGATTAAATTAGTGTGAGAAAAAAAAACAGAAGCTATCAGCAGCATCACACCACCTCGTAGCGTTTGTTTTAAAGACGAAACACAGCTATATATAGCTCTGGCTACACAATTCGCACTCTCCAGAAATGTATATAGGGGAACGTTTTCACAATGAGCCTGTGTTGTATAAAAGTTTAAAAAATCTGCCATTTTAAACATCTCTATTTTAAACATATTCTAAACAATTCCCAGTAACCTTCTAAACTTAACAAACATCCCCTGAACATTTTTTTAATAATCTACCCCAACATCCTCTAAACATCTTTTGAAAATCTCTTAAATGTTCTTTATTTCTTCTCTATAAACCTTCTAAACATCCCCTAACTTAATTATATACTTTTATTTTTTTCTAAATATATCAAAACCACCACCTACATTTCTAATTATCTCCTAAACACCTCCTAAACACCTTCTTAAAATCTCCTAAAGTACTTTTATTATGTTCTAACATTCCCTAAATGTCTCGTTAACATCTTCAGTGTGTCTCCTTAATGTCTCCTAATATTATTTACCATGTCTCCAATTGTGTGGCTAATGATGTTTGTCAATGCAGAGCTTCATCCTGCTCACCCTGAGAGAAGGCATCCAGCACGTCGTCTCCAACCCCTGCCAGACAGTCCTGCGGCGTGTGTGTGGGGGTTGAGCCGGCCGAGGTGGAGCGGATGGGCATAGGCATGGTGCAGCTGGCACTGTGGCTGGGCGATGAGTGTGGCGAGGTCCCCGTCTGAGCCTGTAGAACAGGGATGAAAAAAAAGAATGCAAACATTACACAAGGTGTGCAATAACCTGAACATCCAGGGTTCCCTCGCTCCCTCAAAGACACTGCAGACAAGCCTATAGATTTCTGGTCGACATTGTTCCTAAAGATCGACAATCAGCCATTTAATTGCTTTACTCAACAGATCTTTACTCTAGTCTGCATTCAATTGAACAAATATAATAAATATTGAACTTTGTTTATTTCAAACTTGTGCAATTCTATTAGGCTTTCAACATTAAATTTATAGATTGTACAATTTTGTTTCAGAGTTTTATTTGCCAGTTATTTTCATAGTTTATGTGTACAGTTTTCACAAGACTTAATTTTAACCCAGGCTCATTGTGAAAACATATCCAATTTCTACATACATTTCAGGAGAGCGACAAATAAGTCCCAAGAGCTACGTTTTTTTGCAATTTTTGTTTTCACGAATTCACCAGGGGCTGCTGTGTATGTCTTTTGAGATCTCAACTATCTCTCACGGGTGCCATTCATGCCTGCTGTTCTCACGTGAATCCACCAGAGGTCGCTGTCAACTCACTGACTGAATGACTCACTGACTGACCCACCCTCCTCATTCCTCAAACCCAACCAATAGTATTTTCAAAAATACTGATTGGCCCGCCCATCCACTTCCCTAAACCCAACCGACAGTTTAAAAAAGCAATGCAGAAAAGCCCTTGCCTGATTTTTACCACGTTTTGAGATTTTATCACATTTTCACTCTGTTTACTTGTTTATTTTTTGCCTCTGTTTTTTTCTTACCTGCTTTCTGGAACCGTTCTTCGACAGACTCAAACCCAATCATCATTATCAGACGTACATGGTTGGTGAGCTAAATGGACAAACTGGTAACTACAGGAAAACCGTCCATATGGAGGTAAGCAGTCAGCTGGTAAGCGTGAAAAGGAACAGCATCATACCACCCCATAGCATTCGCTTTAAAGACAAAATGCAGCCTTACGTACTTCTGGCTACATAATTCGTAATCTCCAGAAACCTATATAGGACCACGTTTTCAGAATGAGCCCATGTTGCTTAATTGCATGCCTCATGTATACTTCTGCATCAAGTGATTACTGTACCCCACAGTCCATACTATTGCCAACGCTAACATGTAGACAACGCTTTTGTGAGCATTAATACATGTTACTTGTTACTTGCATTAATGCATTCTTTTTTGTTGCTCTGACAATAACACTTCTCGAACACTTGTAGACAGTAGGGTTTGCGCCAGAATACGTGCGATGCTACTCTGGAAGTAGCTCAATCTCACAGTCACAAAGCAAACATATCCATCAAGAGCTCCACTGGAGGACTCGACACTTGTTAACACTCACGCCACTGGCCTAGCTCCCACAACTCTTAGGCCTGCTCTACTCTCTTCACGGCTTCCAATGCCGACCAATCAGAAATCTTGTGCTTCATGTATCTGTGATGTTTAGTTACATCAGGGTAAATGCAAAGGGTATGTGTGACTATGCAGGACCAACCACGTTAAATCATATGCAGAAGTATATATTGGAGTTATAAAAAAAATAATGCACCTGCAAAAGCTCAGCATAAAAAGAAAATCCTATATACAGAAAGGGAATGCCGGTGTCTTCAGAAAAGTTCAAGTGATATTTTCTTTTCAAATAATCTCTGTCTAAAAGTGCACAAAGTAAACGCCATCAATAATGCAGATCTATAATTACCACTAGGGCTGCTCGATTTTGGGAAAAATCATAATCACGATTATTTTGGTCATAATTGTAATCACGATTATTCAAAACGATTACTGTTAAAGTAAAGAATTATTAGCGCTCCTTGGTATTTTTTTAAATAAATATTTCCAAAATGATGTTTAACAGAGCAAGGAATTTTAACACTATTTCCTCTAATATTTTTTCTTCTGGAGAAAGGCTTTTATTATTTTGGCTGGAATAAAAGGAGGTTTAAAAATTTTGAAACCCATTTTAAAGTCTATAATATTAGCCCCCTATAGCAATATATTTTTTGATTGCAGAAGAAACTGCTGTTATAAAATGACCTGTCTAATTACACTAATTAAGCCTTTAAATCGCACTTTGAATCTGAATGCTTGTATTTTGAAAAATTTCTAGTCAAATATTATGTGCTGTCATCATAGCAAAGATAAAAGAAATCAGTTATTAGAAATGAGTTATTAAAACTATTATGTTCAGAAATCTTCTGTCCATTAAACAGAAATTGTTGAGAAAAGGGCTGCTAATATTCTGGAGGGCTAATAATTTTGACTTGACTTCAACTGCATATATACAGTTATTTTCCTCCCTGCAAAGGAAAGAGAAATAAATACAATAGAATAAAAATATTAAACAAACTGTGCTTTGGGCATCTTAACTGTCAGAAAAACACTTTAGCTGCAGCAGTCCTTCAGTCAAGAGCAGAGAGGCATGTTCTCCGTTTATTGCTTGATTAATAATCATAAAAACAGACGGAAGAAGGATTATCGCGCAATGTAACTTTAATGGTTTCTCTTTCGCGTGTCTTTTGATTCTCAACTCGTTTGTTTATTGAGGTTAATATGAATAATCACCAAACACTGCATTTTGACACCTATTTGACCAGTAAAGCGCTCACGTTAAGATTAATCTAGATGTGACGCTCTGCTCGTCTCAGTGTGTGAGTAAGACAGAATGCTGACCGCATGCTTCTGTTGTGACTGTGTGTGTGCACCAGAATCATGTGGTCTTTAGCGTTTTTAAGAGCAACACGTGTACAACTGGAAAGGGGGTGGTTTATGATGCAATAATCATTTATCTCGATTAATGGTTTTTCATAATCGTTAGAAGCCAAAATTGAAATCGAACTAATTCGAAGACTCAGCCATGATGAGTGTGTGTGCTGATTAAATAGTTCTGTAATCAGTCCATGAGCAGCTTCAGCTGTAAGTGTTTGCAATCAGACAGGATCAGGAACCGGTGTGTGTGTGCACAGTGCATGACTGGATCTTGTAGTCCAAATACCAGCGGATTTGTAGTTCTTAAGCGAACTGCGTATTTACCAGAGATCTGCCAGGATTAGATCGCTGGTGATTATGACACATGGAATCAAAAGTAACCATATTTACTTTGTTAGCTCACATTACTATTTTTGTGCTGAACAATGTATCTGTGCATCTCATTACAAAATAAATTACGTTTACCCTTGAAAATCGCCCTTTTACTCGAAATCTGAAAATGCACTTCCTGTTTGTTTTCAGTTGAATTTTCAGATTACATCTGTCTGAGGTATAGGGTGTGGCTAACATACTGAACCATGCCCCTCCAACCAGTTTTGATAGCACTACGGCAACAAACAGAAATGGTGAGGAGGAGGTGTCTGTTAGGTTGTAATAACTGTCCCGAAACCTTTCTGAACAAAATGTCTACTTCACTACATCCAATCAGCTGGCAGTAGAAAAAAAACAAGCCACAACCACTGTTCTATCATTTAATATTCTGTTTCTCTATGAACTGCTCAATAACACGGAAAAAAATGCTCGCAGCTTCCGGTTCATGTGGACTTTAAAAGTCAAATAATACATTTTTACTTTCTATTTTGAAGTCTACATAATTTAGGAAAAACTATCTCTAATTAAATAAATAGATCAAATAAATAGAACTTTGAATTGGGAAATTGCTTGTAAAAAAAAATTATAAATCAGCAACTGGAATCTGTCATGAAAAATCTAGATTTGTGCTTCACCAGCATTCTTCATGCATCTTTGGGCCGGGAGCTCACTGAGCAGCAGGCAAGGGCCACTAGAGGAGCAAAAGGATGGTAGAGAAGGGCTGCACTGTCCCACAGATTGACACTGAGCCCAGGGATGTGGCGCAGGGCCAGGCAGCAGATGGCTGGCCAGACTGCAGTCACATTAGACGCGAGGTGCTTAGCCCTGATGAAAGGAGAGCAGGTCTCTGATATTTGGCAGGCAGACATGAAGCTCGTGGTCCCTGCCTGGGTCACAGGAACAAAGCAGCGGGACTTGACTGGAAATGGGAGCTTCATGTCCTCGTTATGAGGAGCAGACGTGACAGAGATCGCCCACAGAGATGGTCTGCGATAAGCTCATGAGATATGCTTGATTTATTCAGGCAACCTTTACTGTTCAATCATTTTTTTAAAATCTCTAGTAGTAAGCTATTCACTGGTAAAGATATAACAAATCTCTCGTCATTTAGTCATCCTTGTGTCAAAGGTAGAAATACAATACTACTATATTTTTGACTGATGATCTGTATCAAGCAGAATTACAAAATTATAAATTGTACAATCTACGCTATTAACAAACCATTAACTAAGACTTTTTGATCAATCACTAATTAGATGCTTATTATTAGTATTTGTGGTAAGCAGGACTGCACGATATACACTCACTGGCCACTTTATTAGGTACACCTTACTAAAACCGGGTTGGACTCTTTTTTGCCTTCAGAACTGCCTTAATCCTTCATGGCATAGATTTAAGGAGGTACTGGAAATATCTCCCAGAGATTTTGCTCCATATTGACATGATAGCATCATGACTTGTCTGCTGCACATCCATGATGCAAATCTCCCGTTCCACTACATCCCAGAGGTGCTCTATTGGATTGAGATCTGGTGACTGTGGAGACCATTCGAGTACAGTGAACTCATTGTAATGTTTAAGAAACCAGTCTGAGATGATTCGCAATTTTTGAAAGAGTGCGTTATCCTGCTGTAAATCGAGACTAGTCAGACCAGGCAATCTTCTGTTGTCTAATTTTGGAAAACATGTGCAAATTGTAGCCTCAGTTTCCTGTTCTTAGCAGACAGGAGTGGCACACGGTTTGGTCTTCTGGTCTGCTGCTGTAGCCCATCCACCTCAAGATTTGATGTGTTGTGTGTCAAGTGATACTCTTCTGCATACCTCAGTTGTATAACGAGTGGTTATTTGTGTTACTGTTGCATTTCTATCAGCTGGAAGCTGGAGGTCTGGCCGTTCTCCTCTGACCTCTGGCATCATCAAGACATTTGTGTCCACAGAACTGCCGCTCACTGAATATTTTCTCTTTTTAAGACCATTCTCTGTAAACCCTAGAGATGGTTGTGCATGAAAATCCCAGTAAATCAGCAGTTTCTGAAATATTTAGACCAGCATGTCTGGCACCAACAACCACGTTCAAAGTCACTTAATCCACTTTTCTACCCAATTCTGATGCTCGGTTTGAACTGCAGCACATCGTCTTGACCATGTCTACATGTCTAAATGCATTGAGTTGCTGCTATTTGATTGGCTGATTAAAAATTTGCGTTTACAAGCAGTTAAGACAGGTATACCTCATAAAGTGGCCGGTAAGTGCATCATTTACATATAATAAACAAACTAAAGTCATAAATAAACACAATGGAGCAAATGTTAAAGTAAAAAAAAAAATGCTGTATGGTTTTCTGAAGAAAGTAACAGTTTGCGGGTACAGAAATTGAATAATCAAATATAAAATAGCACTGCCTAGTCTTCATTATATGAATAATTCAGTAAAATGAATCTTTATTTAACAGGCCTTTATTAGTCACATTTAGGCTTGAAAACACATGTAGATGATAAACTTACACTCTACTTTGGTTCAATTCTGCAGTGTCTCCACAAATCTCATGTGTCTGACCTGCGGTTTCTGGTCATCTATAATCTCAACTCAACATTGCATATCTTTGCGATGTGACTATTGCAGACGCACACATTACAATATCGACGCTCAAACAATATATTGTTCAGCCCTAGTAGTAAGGTAGTTTTGGGTAGGATTATGGATGTACAATAAGATCTTACTTTATAAGTGCTAATATCCAGTTAGTATGTTAATAATAAGCAGGCAGGTGATAGGCCAGTAGTAATTGTTGTTGTTGACTTTTTTTACTTACAGTGTTACCATATGTGGCTAATGTGGTCTTTTACATACTGTAGCTAGTGCTCATTTCATATAAATACATAAATCAACCATTTCTCAGAATTGCAATGTGCCATCTTTAAAAAACATTTTAAGATTTGATAAAGATAATATAAAGATGTATAAAGATTCACACTAAAATGAAAAATAGTTAAATATTAAAACTGCATATTCGTTTTGAGACTGCTAATGATTACATATTAACAGTGTTATTAGACATTAGTTTGCATTCGGTTGCATCAGGTTGCATTAGGTAATGTTACTTAATGTATATACTAGAACAAACAAACAATAAATTATTTATTTATTACAGTATTCAGTATTATTCATCTTAGTGTGAAAGATGAAGTGTGAAACCCATGCAGCTTTTCTGCCAGTCAATTTTTAGAAAAATGTCGGTTTTCTCATATATAATAGGGCTGCACAATACATCGTTTAAGCACCGATATTGCAATGTGTGCGAAAAACTCGCAATAGTCATATCACAAAACATGCAATGTCGAGTTAGCCAGAAACCACAGGTGAAAAGACACAAGATTTGTGGAGACACTGCAGAATTGAGCTGTAATACAGTGTAGGTTCATCTGCAAGTGTTTCTAGAGCCTGTGTCTGTGTGAGCGTTTAAAGACCGTTTAAAGCATTTTACTAGTGCATAAAGAAGTTACATAAAGGTTATTTTATTAAATGATTTGGTAACACTTTATTTTGATGGTCCATTTGACTATTAGTAGACTGTCTGCTCAATAAATGTTCATACTGCTCCTTCAACAGACATAAAACGGTAAAAAACTTTGCAAGTACAGTACAGGTACATGTCAACTTACACTAACCCTAAACCCAACTCTAACAGTCTACTTTTAATCTAATGAGAATTAGTTGGCATGTAGATGCAATGTAACTTAAATTCAACAAACAGACCATCAAAATAAAGTGTGACCATATATTTACATGGTGAAGACTGTGCAGTGCTATTTTACATTTGATTATTACATCTCTGTACCTGAATACTGCTCTCTCCAGAAAACCATACAGCTCGCTTTATCTCATGTTATTATTTGCTCAATTGTGTTTATTTATAACTGTTTTTAGTTTATTATAAGTGTTTAATTAATCACATAAATATAATTTTTATTCAATCCCCTACAAAATCATCCTAAGTATGACTTTGTAAAATAAAGCTGTTTAAGTCATCTGGTGAAATCGCAATATATATGGCAGAGAAAAAAGTCGCAATATAACATTTTTCCAATGTCGAGCAGCCCTAATATATAGGATCCATATGTTGGATCAAACATTTGCAGCTGTGACCCAGCATGTTTTCCTCAGACTTTTGAGCTGTATTAGAGAAACACTTACTGCCTGTTTCTGCTCTTCGTCCTGTCAGCCAGAAGATGAGAGATGATAGTGAGTGAACGCAGAACACGGTGAGAGACAGAGAGAGAGAAAAGAGACCATAAGTGAGCACAGATCAAGAAACAGTTCATGTTTTCATACAGTTCTTCCACAAATACTTGGTCAAAATAAGCAAAAAGGAATGTAAAAATATATTTATAGTAACATTTTAATCTTTGGCACAAACTTTTACTCTTCAGATGTTCATGCTGCCGTGAATTGCTCAGTTGAATCAAATGAACTTTTCTAGTAATCTCAGCTTACATGAAACAAACTGACTAAAATATTAAGTTAAACTTTGTAAAACTTGAGAAACAAATATCTTTGATAAATACATGTGTTCCACCCCTGCAAATGAATCTGAGCTAAATCTTTTGAAGTACATTCCATTGATATTTTACATTGTTTTAGTACACCTGGGTAACAGGAAATTATTCAGCATTGACTTCCTGTTTTTTACATGGCTATACACATGACTCATGAGGTGGCATAATAACTCATTCATTCATCCCACGGTAAGGCCAAACAAAATATCAGCTATTTTGCTAATATAAAATAGCAGCAAAATATCCCCATTTATCCTAAATATCACCATTTCCAGCATCAGAGCATTCATTTAGAATTCATATGAATCAAGTAAGAGGATGAGTTTCAAAACACACTATTAGGAGAACACACTGTAACAAATGCTGGGTTCCACACAATCGATTTGTGTTGGGACAGCATGAAGGAATTAGGTTAGCTTGTTAGTATTTTACAAATTTAATTGGATTGAATATGAAACATGTAAGTTGTACCAAAAAAATCCCTCAAATAGCCCAAAAAAATCTCAAAGCTGTAGAATTGTCTGATGTCAGAAAGTCTCCAAAACTACAATCTGACATCATCTAAATCACTACAAATAGTCTGAGAGGGTCTCAAGAAAAAAAAAGTGTCTCCACATTTTTGTTGATATTTTAAGCTGCAACACTGAAAAATGCATTTCTTATTTATTTCTTACTTATTTTTAACCAAATAAGACTTTTTGTATTGTTTTCAGACAAAACAAATCATAATTAAGTGAGTGTTTCATTAATAAGGAGCAAAATAATCTGCCAGCGGGACAGGTTGAATAATCTTTTTTGTTGTTTGTTCAAAATAAGATGCCTACCCCCATTGAATAATATGTTATAAGAATAAAAGACAAAAGTAAGACTTTTTTGCAGTAAAAAGAGTTAAAAGTTAAACAACAAAGAGATTTTTTACAGACTTCTGTCATGTTTACTCAGGGTGCCAATACAGGTTGGGAAATGAAAAGCTAAATTGTTGTCCAGCAGGTTTGGTACCTTCAGGAGCCTCATGAGGCCCTCCAGCTGGACCATCAGCTCTCTCCTGCTCTCCTGCAGAGCTGACATGCGCCTCTCCAGCTCATCTTTTCTGTGCCTGAGCAAAATCACAAATAAAATCGATAACAGGGATCTGCCAAAAATATACAACTTAAAGCTGGCATAGGATGGAAAACTGCAGTTTCTTTAATCTTTCGGATAAAAAGCTCTGTTCATAGAGCAAATCTCCTTCCACAATCCACTCATGCAGTTCATAATACAATATAGGTGGAAAAATGGCTCAAGATAAAACACTACTGACTATGGGCTCTATCATAAACCCGGCGCAAGATGTGTTTGATGGGATTTGTGGCTATTTTCAGACCATCTATTTATCATGTGGTCTATTTTTAGAGCACAATAATCTGAACACTGGACAAACATCAGGTTTAATATTCTTGTTTATTTTTTGACACAGTATTAGAGTAAAAAACAAGTGTAGATGGGATTTCAGATGTCTTTTTATCACTTCGTAATTCATATTGGGAACAGCTAGAAAAAAATTAACTAGTTTTCATAATGTTTTGTAAAATAAAAGGCTATATGAACTCAAATATATATGAATCAGCAAATTATGTATGAACAAATCCCTCAGTAAAAAAAGCTTTAGAATACAGATATATTTAAAATTGTGGTGTATATTGAATGTGGTTTATGTACAGTAAGTGCTGCTAAAGAAGAAATGTATGGCTCAGTGCAGAATACAAAAACTAAAATAGCAGCCTTTAATTAGTGTTATTTATCAATTTATGTCTATATACTGTATATATATATAAATTACTACTACTATATACAATATAAAAACAAGTATAATTATATTGTTTACTATATTGTTTACAGTATAAATACAAAACATTGATAAAAAAAAGTATACAAAAGAAGGAATCTAAAGAAGCAACACATAAAATAATGCATTGCATAATACTTTTCATTGGACAAAAAAAAAAAACTATTTATAAAAAGCCAGAAGGGCAAAAAAATAAAAAATTCACAAAATTAACACGTGAATTTAAAAAAGAGTGTTTTTGCCTGCAGCATCTTACTTTAAGAGTCAAATAGATTGCATAAAATGGTCATATTACATTGGATTTATATTAAATATCCTCTCAGATATGACCTCTATAAACTCTAAAAGCAACTGCTCACACAGTAATGAGGCTGAATCTCCATGAAAGCAAAAACAAAGAGGGCATAAACTGCACATAATGGAAATGTGCTCATTCATTCGCTCATCTCGGGAGACTAACATACTATTAAGCAAACTCATTTGGCTCGTACATGCCCTCTGGTGCCCATGAAAGGTACTCCGTTTTAAATGACTTCGACAATGACTAGAGGGAAGTGAAGTCCCACCCAGTCCATTTAAAACTTATTACATTCATAACAGTCTGCAATGTTCTGAAACGCTCGGGTGAACTCAAGCTAAGGGTCATTTAAAGTGAAAAACTTCTCACTTACTGCTATAATATTACATCTACATATACGTGTATGTATGTGTGTGTATATATATTTAGTGTTCTTTTTGTGAATAGTGCCTCAAGTGTGTGTCATCATACCGCAGCAGTCGTAGCTCTGCCAGAAGTGTTGGGTTCTGCTGGGCTTTTTCAGGGGTCGGTTGAGAAGCCTGTTCATGTTCCAGACGCAAACGCTGGATCTCCTGCAGGATCTCCCTACATAAACATCACACTATAAATAAACCGAAATGATCTCAAATGGCACTTATTGAAAGCTGTCAATATGTCACAGACTTTGTAGTCACTCCTGCCTGTTATTCACATTAAAGTTAATATTATTTTGTAAACAAATTATTATTATAATTCACTGCAAGTAAAATGACATTTAAATAAGTACTTTTATCTAGTTATAGTAATATAATTAATAATGGAATAATGAACTGATAATTAAAAATGTCATTAAATAATGGTTCTTACATCCTCGTGTGTAAGTGGATCTGTATAAATGCATTCGCTAAATAACTAAATTAAAATGTCATTGTTTTTATTATATTTATTATTATTGTAATAATTTAATAACTGAAAAACTTGAAATATGTAATACATTTTAATTGAATCAAACTAGTAACAATTTTTTTAATAGTATTGCTTAAAATAGGTGATGATGATTAATATTAATATTATTATTATTTTAATTATGATTATTATTATGTTGGTGTAGTTGTTATAAATAATATAAAATATACAACTGCTATGTAAACACTTTTATCAACAAATGACAATGTTTTTATTAGTTCCATAATTAAAAATATTACATGACTACAGTATTTCAATGGTCATTATTTTTTATAATACATCAGTATATTGTTAACAAGGAATGTATTTGTTATTACTTAGAACAGATGTTTGCAGTGAATTTTATAGCTGAATTTTATAACAAATAATAATAATAATAATAATAATTATTATTATTGTTGTTATTATTATTATTATTATTATTGTTATTATTATTATTATTATTTTACTGTGTAATTCATTGAACTTAATTTTCATGTTATGTTAGCTAATAATTACAATAATAATAACTGATTGAATGAAGTTATATTTGTAGTAAAATGTGTAAATATAAATAATATAAATGTGGTAATAATTAATTTACATGACATTGTCTGTCTTTATATGTTCATAAAGGTTCAGTAACATTTTCAATGGTTTAATAATTAAATATATAACATGATTTTTTATGGTACAGTAACAAGATAATAAGTTACACATGTTTTCGGAGACCCTCTTCCACCCCAGCTCCACCTGTGTTTAGATCTGCTACAGGGGTTACATGTAGATTAAGTTTGAGGCAGCAGTGTGTTATATTATCAGACAGCATGTCTGTGTCTATACTGGCAGTAGCAGGTCTCGGTACTTGTTCTGGCATAATAAACAAAGCAGCAGCTGCATGAACGTAGCAGCTGTATACTGCCAAGACCAAATACATCAACACTGACATAGGTTTAGGGGCATTTATTATCATTACAAAATGTTATACTATAAAAACTAGGTTAATAAGGAAGTGTTTAATCTAAAAAGCAGAGCTTCCCCCTGTTGGAAAAGCGCACCTGTTTTTATTCTCCAGCTCTGCAATGAGTTGCCGCTGCTGCTTATTAGCATCAAAGTTGAAGCTTAGATCAGACGGAGGGCATTGCTGAAAGACAAAATAATTAGAGAAGTGGATTACTGATTATGAGCAAAACTAATTAGAAAGATGCTGTTAAATCAACACATAAAAAAGGAGTCACCCTGCAATGAAAAGCCAGATGTACTCTAAAATGAGCATTGCATGCTGCTGATTTTCAATCAATTTAAAACAATAAAATGAATGTGTCCTGAAAACTTCCTCTATCAGATTTTTTTAGGTGTGTGTTTAAGGTCTTACAGTGGAGTTGCTGGCTTCGGCTGCCAGACGAGCCGCATATCGAGCAATGAGACGATGCTCTTCATCCAGTCGGCTGGGACTCTCAAGAGTGCTATTCACAGACAAACACACAAAAGATGAGAAATAATACATACAGCAGGACGAAAGACTGTGATGAAGCACGAGACGGATGAACTGAAGATCGAAAACCAAAATGAGAGATTACAATATCTGGAAACATATGAACTGACTGCTACCAATACCTGAATATAATGTAATGCTATGGTGCTATTGAATGCTTGATTCTGATTGGCTGATGAACATTCTTAAGCCCTGTTCAGATTACAAAATTGTAAACCTGATTTCAGCACAATTTGCTTGAAGTAAGGAGTCATGGGTATTTGAAAACAACAAATGGCACTCAAAAAAGAATTTTTGCTGCTTGTTTAAACTAATATACTTAAAATGAGCTGAATCAACACAATGCTTGAGGTTTTCTTGGGGCAACTTAATTGTTTCATGTTAAATCCACTTAAATTTGTAAAAATTAAAAAAACAAAAACAAACAGTTAACAGTCAACATGAAGGAACCCTGCATTTTTTGTGATTTCTTCTCATGTCATACGAAGTGTACAACAGCTGATGATATGTCCGTGATGCTTCATGATACCAACCCAGAAGATCTAGCATGTTTCATGAATGTTAAAATCAAATTTGGTGAGTACTGGAATAAGCATGTAAACCAGGGGTGACCGCCAAGGAAACTAAAATATTAAATTTTAAAATATTAAAAATTTAATTCAGAAAAGAAAAAAGCTATTAGAATGGCCCGGCCAATCACCTAATGTGAATCAAATGGAAAATGAGAACTAAAGATCAGCGTTCACAGACGAGACTCACAAAATACACTGTTAAAAATTGTCCCGTTAAAAAACAGTAAAATACTGGCAGCTGCAGTTGCCAGCAATGTACTGTTATTTTACAGTATGTTGCTGTAAAAATACATAGACTACATTGATATACACAATACTCAAGTGAACTCATTTTGCTCACTGAAAGCAACTGCCTCAACTTGGTCAACTGCTGAATGAGTTTATGAAGTAATGTGCTTTATATGCTCAGAAGCATACTTATAATGATAACTTATTTTAGTTAATTAGAAAAGTTCAGTTTAACTCTAATGTATTATTTTTCACAACAGCACACATACATGTAAATCTGGAACTACCAGAGAGATTCTGACTGCATCAGCAACTAAACAGCTGATGTTTTTAAATAGAAAAACATGCAGAATAACATCAGCAGTTCACTGTTCATCTTTAACTCATACACTGGCTCTACTCTCCTCCACAACGGTGACAGACAGAAGAAATTAGCTTCAGGTTTTACAGTAAAATACTGTTTTTTCCTTGATTTAACAGTAATCTACTGGCAGCTGTGGTTGCCAGCAATATACTGTTTTTTTACAGTCTACTTCCGTTGTGTAAATTAACAGTATATTACTGTTAAAATACATTTTTACACTGTGTTTTTACCTCTCACACCTTTAACCCTTTAAACCCCAGAGCATATACTTCAGTTTTAATTGAAGTGTCCACACTACTGAGTGTTCAAGAAACCTGTAGCAAAGCTGAAGTAAATTCATTAATTAACTGACTAATTAAATGATAATTGAGGATTAACAATGAACAAATGAACAAATACTGAAGGGAAAAAACAAGAACAGAACATACAAAACTTTAGTCACAGCTTTATAATGAAATAACCTGAAGAACAACAAATGATTAAATCATTTAAATGATCAGCGGATGATTAAACAACTCTACAAACATCATCACCAGCTACACTTATTACTTAATACATGTATTTTTGTATAACATCTACTAAAGTTCTTCTTGAGAAAAAGTTAAAGTTTTACGTCACCATCATGGAGAACAGAGTTTGCTTAGTTGGGCTCTTAGCCCTGTCATTTTTAACATTTATATATCTTGGCTGCTGCAATTGTTAAGAACTTTGTTTAAAAAGCTCCTTTGTTGAGGCAAGCCAGCCAAAAACCTAAATAAGATCTGGTGATGTTCATGATGCTATTAAATGGTAGAGTCTGTTCTCATTTAGTATAATAAAATTTACTGCTCCTATTCAATGTTAAATCTATTGTTTTACATTATATGTATATATATATATATGGCAATGATTTCTGGAAGTTTTTAAGAATATCTTGGACAATAACACTGCTCTATGGTGTAAATCGCACTCAAAGAGACATCAATAATCAGCATATGAACCTCAATAATGGTGACAACTAACAAAATTAACAGTTTAACTCACAAACAGGCAACTGAAAGTCTAAACATAAACAACAGCAGAATCAAACACAAATAAATAAAACTGTTAGACCATTATACAACATTTATTTATACCGCAATGCATGCTGGGATATTTGTACCGTGTTACTCCCAGCATGCATTGCAGCATGAAACATTTGAGATGTTACCATTGTTGAGATACAAGGTCAGATTCATGAGGTCTGAGTGTGTATTCGTCATAACTGAACTGTTTTTGTATGCTATTTCTTAACTGTTAAGTAATTACGGAGGTATCTTTTCTGTTTTCACTTCTTATTAATTAAATTAATACCTGCAACTAAGCATAAAATCTATTGCATGAGGCCCTTTTTCCAGATTTATAACAAAACATTTATCAGAACTAATTTCAAACAAATAGATTTCTCTATTTATTGACTTCCCAACTTTATTGCTATAGTACAAACGTTTTGTAAACTCTGTATTACAGCAGTTGGACAGTCTTATTAAATGATTTCAAGGGTGAAGAGCCCAACTAAATCAGCCCCTCACTCCATTACGGTGACACAAAAAACACCTTAATTTCTGTTGGATCTCAATGAGAATAGTATGGAAGTCAAATCAGTCAGTAATAAGTGTGTGTCTGCTGTTGTTTGTGGAGTTGTTTAATGATCCTCTGCTGAGACTGAAGCTGTTTTATTTTATTTGATTTTATTTAATGTTGTAACTCAAGTCACTGTTTGTATTTCTTGTTTCTTTTCTTCAGTAATTGTAATTATTAACAGCAGGTGTTCATCAGTGTCTGAATTCACTCATTAGTGTTCATTAAAACTGTCAGGTGAACTATATTAGTTAACTAGTGTATAAAATAGTGAACAAGGACACAAAGTGTGATTTCAAACACAGACTTCAAAACATCGAATCTGAACTCTGTTAGCTCACAGTTTTCTGCAGTTGGTTACTTTCTCGAAAACAAAAATGTTACCCAGAAAGCACTGTTTTTAACAGAATATTACTTTTTTAGTGAAAAAACATTATTTTACCGTAGAATCTGACCGTTTTTTAACAGCAATTTTTTACAGTGTAGGCAAAATTTGAACACTCTGTTGAAGTCTGTGAAAAGAATCTCTCCTGAGCAATGCATGTAACTCCATTCTCCATACAAGAGGCGTCTTAAAGCTGTCATTAAAAGAAAAGCCTTTTAAACAAATAATTAAACTCATTACAGAAATTAATACTTTCTCCTTGTGTCATTCCATTGTTATTACACATAACTAATTTTTCACTAAATCTTTTGTCTTGTTTTATTAGTATGTTTGGATTGTTTGTTTGTTTGTTTGTTTAAACCAAAATCGGTGTCAATTTTTACAAGGGGAAATCACAAAGTGCTTATACTGCTCATTTTAAACACTGTATGGGGGAATCTTCAATGGTGTAAACACTGGTTAGACAATTACTGAGACATTTGTGATGTGTGCAGCGTCTTGGTGACAGAATGTGCATTATAGATGTCACAATGACTTATCACGAAGCAACATGTAACTTGACATATTTGGCATCCACAACATCTCGGGAATGTATCCAAACCAAAATCACATAATCTTAATATTTTGCTACAATAATAAAATTAAGGAGTCTAAATTGGAGGGAGGTCTGAATCTCATTACAGCTCCATATCACTACGCTGAATGATTTGAGTTACTTCACAGCCTAAAAGTGTAAAAAATCGAATTAAATCTAGTCCTACAAGCAATACAACATCTGAACAGTGTTAAATTTCGGTAACCTACACTTGTAAAATACATTTTCTAATAATTTAATAAGAGTACATCATTCCTTATAGTCAAACAGCAGTACTGTAGTAGAGCTCTTTAGACACTCTTTTTTCTTTGCTTCAAGAAAAAAATAGAGTATCCAGACAATGAGGTCTGTATTAATAATTCACTGAGTAGCTTGGAGGAGATTGCAGGAGTAAATAATCAGTGACACAACCACTAAGAAGATAAGTACAAACTCAAAGTGCAAACTAAGGGCAATATAGAGAAAGAGCAAACACAGTAACTAAACAAGACACAGGTGATAAGAGCATCAGAAACGACGGGAACTAGTAAGGAATAAAGTAAGGGAAAAGTGCTGTAGGGGACAGAAGGTCAAAATAAGGTCTTGTTTACACCTAATATTTAGTTTATGCATCACTATTGGAAAAAAAAGACACGTTTCTGTTTACATCTGCAGTTTAAATGCATCTACAGTATATTGTCCACTTTTCTGATGATGGAGGATCTGTGGGCAAACGTTTATTTAGGCTTTTTATGCACTTTTAATCTAATATTCTGAAATGAGGCTGCACAATTTGCCAGTTGTGCAGGAATATATATATATATATATATATATATATATATATATATATATATATATATATATATATATATATATATATATATACAACAGTTCTTTCTAATCCTTAAATCTTGAAAGCTGTGTGATAATCTGCAAAAAACAGCACTCGTCCAGCCTCTTCACCTTTCACCATTGTGTATTACTCCGCCCACATACAGTGACAAGCAGAAAACACTCTACGGTTTGAAATATTTGAAATATTGCTGCTGTTGGACAACATAATGTACTTTTGAGGCTTTTTTAGTAGAGAATGCAGTTGTTTAGATTGCAACTTTGCAGTTTATTTATAAGGATAGTGCCTAAAATATTTAAAATCTCAGAGCATCACATTCAGTTCATCGGCCGCCATCAACTTGTCTGATTAAAGAAATTGACGACTGAGATTCCACCAGGAGATGGTGACAGAGAC